AAAGATTTTCAACAAAAACCATTAACCAATAAAGAAGATATATCAACAAGTACTGATTATTTCGAATATTTAAATAATCAAGATAAAAATAATGAATTTATACTTGTAAGATTTCGAATTAGAAAATCTGTATACAAAAAATTTTTTAAATCTTGTTTAGAATTCATCAATCGTTGCAATTTCAAAATTGCAATAAAATATTTAAAAATACCGTTATTCTTTGAATGAACGTCGACGAAATATTATGAATGAAATTTGATCATTTTTATTCTTTGTTTTTGATCAAAATCAATTTCAATATTTAATATTTTTATTATGTCGAATTAATGAAAGATAAGTTCGACCATCTAATCCGAATGGACTAGCACTCGTCGATTCATAAATAAAATCTTCAATTGATTCGATTGTCCAACCATTTTCTAATGAAAACAATTCATTTAAATCAGATTTTTTTATTCGATGTGGTTCACCTTCATGTATTTCTTTTTTCACTAATATATAGTTGAATATATAAACCATTAGGTTTAATTAAATATTCAAGATTTTTAATATAACATTGATGATCATCATTTGAAAAAAACATGAAAAATAGCCGCATCAAGAATAATATCATATGACCTTTGTTTTAAATATGTTGTTGAAAGATCACTAAGTATATCAATAACTTTAAATTGAATATTAACACTGACTTTTTGAGCTTTTTCACCAGCAACTTCAATTGCTTTAGGTACCTAAACAAAATTTTATTTTATTTAAATAGATAAAATAATTATGAATTTATTAGATCGATAGTTGTCATGTTAACATTGTTTGTATGAGTAACTATATAAATTACATTATCACCAAGGCCACAACCAACATCAAGTATTTCACCATGAAAACTTCCTTGTTCAACAAGTTTAATAACAGCTGGACTAAAAAAATGCTTTATCATTATGATAAAAAGATAGAATACATAAAAACAACATCATACTTTTTTCTTTCTTTGTGATCATCAATGGCGGTCAAGTCCTAGTAGCACATATAGAAAAATAGGAAGACAGTGACAAATAAAAAAAAGAAAAGAGAGGAATAAAAAAACTCACTTAGTGTGCACGTTATCATATCTTTTCTTTTCAAAAGTAGTAGAATGACAATAAATATCAATCTAACGTGTGATATAAAAGTAATATCACAAGTATCGGCTCTTATTTCTCTTCAGTAGAAAAAGGTACTAAAAGAAAACTTTTTTCCCTTTTGAATTGTGTATGACTTAATTTTGTTATATATTCTTAAAGAAAATAACATGAGAAGAAAGGAAAAAACGTGTTCAACGAATCTACCATTTTTATATTGATTCATCTAATCCTTAGAACATACCAAAAATAGTGATTTGAGCAGAGAAAGTCCCATAGTAAACGTTTATTCAATTTTTTTCTCCAACAAGTATCTAAACTAATAGCCATGCTTAATCATGCACAATCAATTTGTTTAAAAACCTTTATCATCATCTTGGTTACGGTACTCCATATAATGATAAGAGACTGTTTGATTGATAAAGTTTATCAATTAGATCAAGCACCTGAAAAATACATAGTAATTTATCTATTGAATAGGGTGTATATAAAATAATTATGATACATTCTGATGTCGGATAGTAAAAACATTTTTATGAATGTATAGTTGGACATTATCATAATGACTTTCGACATCTTGAACGCTAGCTGATGATCTTTGTCTTCTCATTCCATTAACAAGCAGTTGTAGGAAATTATTAGTATAGTATCAGTGATTAGAAGACTCCTTTCGTTCCATATCTGCGAGTTTTTTATAGAGTATTTGAGTAGTTATTTTTAGAAAAGATACCAACGATTCGAGGAAAAGGAAGTAGTTCTCCTTCGGATTAGAGTTCTACATTGAAATTCAATTAACGTAAAGGTTCTCTTTCTTCAATGCACAGTTCTGAACCTTTGATTGCGATTGTCTGTGAAGAAATCTAAATACACGACGAAACAGCTGAATGGTGCAAGAATTATTTTGTTGACAAGACAAACAACGAAGTCAGTAGTGTTGTTGTCGAATTCCATCGATCCTCTTTTATCTTTTCTTTTTTTTTCTACAGTATATCTTCACATGGCAATAACAACTGGTAGAACTTGTTGTATTAAATGCAAGAAACCAAAAAACACTGTGAAATGTGATGGATGTTTCCAAGACTTTTGCTTGGAGACACATTAATGAACATCGCAGTGTATTGAGTGAACAATTAGATACAATTGAAGGTCAATTCAATGTGTTCAAAATTCGAATTGATGAACAAAAAGTCGAGCCACAAAAACCTGAGTTAATGGAACAGATCGATGAAGAAGATACGACAAGTAGCCAATAAAATTCGTCGTGAACTCTCATCATGTGTTATCAGATCGCCACCGATCTCGATTTCAAATTGAGATTTTTGATCGAACGGCTCATTCAATGTCGTAAAAAAAATGATTTTGCCGATCCAGACGTTCAGTTTTTCAATGAAAAACTTAAACTATTGAAAAATACTTTCAACAATCTATCAAATTTCAAAATTGAACATCTTTCATCAATATATTTCGCCTTACAATGGAAGGTAAAGGGTGTCTTCAAGTTGAAATCGAAAGAAAAGAACTTTCTACGGTAGAAAAAGTTTATTGTTCTATTCTATTGAGATGAAACATTCGAGCACTAAGCTTTTCTTCTACAATCTTCACTGTTGAGAGAAAAATAAGATGGAATAGTAAAACAACTCTCGATGCTTACAAAAGGTAATTGTTTTTCATTGAACTTTAGCTCATAAACTATTATTCTTCTTTATCTTTGGAATAGAAGAAGTCTTGATGTATCAAATGTAAAATATCTTAATTTTAAACGAAATACGAATGAAGAAAATGTTAAAGAATAAATTTATCAAAAAATAAGTTCCACACATTCCCTTGACCTGGGGTGTGGGTGTGGATGTAAGCTCACTCTTAAATCACACCCACACCCACACCCTTTTCATTTTTATTCAAATTCTTCTTATATAAGTTGAACTTCACCACTATTACCAATACATTATCAGTATTAAGTCATTAACAAAAAGGAAATAAGAAATAAGCTAGTCAATACTTATTTTCACTTTGATTCAAATTCTTTTTATATAAATCTAGATTGAGAACCTTCGGTCGTACTTTATCAGTATTAATTCATAAACACAAATAAAAAAGAAAAACACTGCTAAATATGTCTTTCTATTTTCACTTTGACTCAAATTCTACTCGTACATTTCCGTATTCGTAACTATCATCCATACATTATCAGTATTAATTTACGGACAAGCAAAAAAAGAAATGATCTGGTCAATATCTATTTTCACTCTGATTTAGGTTCCTCCCAGATAAATCCAAGGCGAGGATCTTTGCTTCTGCATTATGAATAATAATTCAGCAATAAGAGAAAAAAAGCTATTTAATATGTATGATGCTTTGATAAAAATTCTTTTTTCTTTTTCTCTAAATTAATATCAAAAAGAAAAGAAAAGACAATGAAACTAGTCAGTATCTATTTCAATTTGGGTTTACATTCTTTTCTTTCTTTTTCACGATCGTTGCTCGTGAAATATAAGTATTAATCCATCAAGAACAAAAAGGAATAAGCTAGTCAATATCTATTTGCGTTTAGATACAATTTTTTCTCATATAAATCCTATTCCATAATCTTTGCTCGTGCATTATAAGTATTAACAAATGATAAAAAGACAAATAAACTATTTAAGATTTTCTTTCACTTCCATTTAGGTTCTTTTCACATAAATCCAAATCAACCACTTTTACTTGTGTATTATGAATGTTAATATATCTACAATCAAAAAACAAATAACTCGTTGAATATCTGTCTTCATCTGATATAGACTCTTCTGTCGTGTATTGGAATCGATATGAATAATGAAAGAAAAACACCAAACGAGTCGCTATATATTATCATGTGGAATCATATATTTTTAACATAAATCCAAATTTAGCATCTTTTCACATATAATATGTGTATTGGTCTATCATCCCTAAAATCAATAAAAGACGTGATTAATATCTATCAAACAAGTTATCCTTTCTAACGAAGCAAATTGTATATCGAATCAACACTCATAATTTATTGTTGCAGCTTAGGTAGTTTCACCGGTACTAATTATATAAATATGATTTTACGTCGTATAACACTATAGATTTACCATTTGTGAAAGATTTTGGATATTATTGCTCGTATGATGTGCATATTTCTCGAAATCCCTTGAAATACACCTCAATAATAAAGATGTTTCGTTAAAAAGTCATATCATCTATGAATCCAATCGAATATATTGAAATAATAAAGTCTATATACGAGGAAAAAATGATCTATCCAGAAAATGCAGTAAGTTTCATTAAAGTAAAAGTCTCCATTCAGGAAAAAGCATGGATCCTTTACCAATGACAGCGGCTATGTTAGAGTTCAACACTTCCGATTAGGAAAAATCCAGGCCCTCTGCAAATTTTAAAAACTCTCTTAAACTTTCAAACTTCATCTAATCAAAAACTGACGTCCACTACATAACACACTACCTCTGTAAAGCTCAAAAAACTTGCGTCCTCTACACACTACAGTAATCGTCTCCAATAAAAAACAATTTCTCTTGTCAAAAACTAATGCCCTCTACAAATTCCACCAATCGTTTAAAGCTTAAAAACTTTCTCTTAACCGCAACTTACCCTTACTACAAATTGCAGTGACTCTCTATACTAGAAAAGCTACCCATTCTTAAAAGCAAACATATTCTACAAATTACAGCAAAATTACTTGAAATAAAATATATTTCAATTTAAATCATTTAAAACATTTTATTTTCTAAAAAACTCAAAATAATCGAATTTGTACAATGTAACTAAATAAATTTTCACCGTTTTCAAAAATTAATAAAATAATACAACTGAAATAAAACGGAATTATCAAAATTCTACTTCAGTTAAAACTTATTTTCTCTATGTTCCCGAATTAGAAGTAGACATTGGAAGCGTTTCTGTTCGTGTTTCGTCTGTTACTGGTGCCTCTGTTGGAGAGGTTTCAGGTGGCGATGCTTCTGCTGGAGATGTTTCTGTTGGCGATTCTACGGTTGCCGGCGCCTCTGTTGCTGATGTTTCTGGTGGAGATTCTCCTGTTGGCGATCCTTCCGTTGCAGATGTTTCTCTTGGGGATTCATCTGTTGGTGCTGCATCCGTTGTAGACCGTCCAGATGGCGATGTTTCTGTTTGCGATTCGTCAGTTAGCGGTGCCTCTGTCGGTGATGTTTCTGATGGTGATTCTTCTG